CATTGCAAGTGCTTGTTATTTATGCAAAGAGTGATGGCTTATTCTCTCCTCCACCCCAGGAGCCTCTCTGCACGTTTCCCCTTTGCTTCATCTCGTAGCAGTTAAGTTGGTCATTTTTCATGGTGTCCATTTGTGTGCAGTGCATGTCGCTGAAGTCTGCTTTTTGTTTTGACCTTCAACATCCTTCTGCTGTAGACTGAATTATGGGATTGTTTACCTTTTCCTGTGTAATTTGGCCACTGCCCCTACAAGAGACAGTGATTTTTCCCCGGCTAAGGCCCAGTCATGTGCCTTGCTTTCCCCAATGGGCTTTTAGTAGATGTGATAAAAGCCGGGACTTGGAACACACTTGTGCAGAGGACCTTGCCCGCTTGCTTGTCCATCATGGCCATAAGATCCCCTTCCCTGCTCCACGCCAGAAAAATTAGACCTCAACGTGATCCAAGGCAGCTACATCACTTCAGACTACACCCAAGAATGAGACACACAGAGCAGATCTGAAGAGCTGTACCAGCTGGACCTACAACTCCAAGCCCCGCTGCCCAGGCAAGGCCAGCCCAGGTCAGCCCCACCAGAACTGAGGATGAGAAGCAAGCCCCGCTGGGATCAGCAGGGCGCCTCACATCTGACTGTGAGAGAAAAATAAGCCTGCGAGTTGCCACCAAGGTTTGGGGATTGTTTCTTATACAGAAATGGCTGAAATGTCCTCCGTCTCTCCTTGGTCTATGTTGCCTGAGGAATTGCTTGGCAAACTTTCAAATGCTCTATACCTGGCTGACCAGGGATTTCAGCAGAATAATAGTTACGGTGATTAGTGTCCTTTAGCAACTCATAAATAGTTCTTAGAACTTTGACAAGAAGAAACTGTGCAGGTTATTATCTGTTATCCCCACAGTGTATGTCACTAGGTGTTAATAATAGTTGAAAAGTGCAATAAGAAAAGCAAAGAGATCCTAATAGAAAAGTATTTAAAAGCACTATCTAAATAAGTCCTTTTTAAAGGGAAATAAATACTATATTATGCTTATTAGAAACTTCATGAAATAAACACATAGAAAATGTAGAGAATGGAACAGAGTGAAATGAATAATTCTGACAATTTCATCATTTAAAAGATCCCAATGCATTAAGTTAATTAAGCATGAAGTTTCGGGAATTTTAGTAAGTACAGGAACAAAAACAACATTGAAGGAACCATGGGGGGAAGTTGACATAAATCAGAAGGTAATAAATTTATAAACAGATAAGTAGAATTTATAAATTCAAAACATGATTTAAAAATTAGATTAAGAATCATGGAACACTCTCTGCTAAAACATTTGTTTATCCCCCTTCAAAAAACCCTCATTTTCTGTAAAAACATAAATGACTAAAAGTGATTCAGGAAGAGTGAAAAACCTGAATAAACCATGGAATTGAAAAAACTTGTATAAAAATTATACTTCTGCATGATCCCAGGCTTGGACCATTTTATATATCTTCTGTTTTCATGTAATAATTTGTATGCTGTTGAAATGGTTCTAAAGAAGAGAAAAGTCAGAAATACTCACAAATTTATTTTTCCAAAACCTGACATTGATAACACAGAACAAGGAACCAGGATCTCACCTGTAATTTTGAAAATAGATGGGAGAAAAGCCTTTATAAAATACCAAGAAGTTGAAATCCCAAAGTATATTTTAAGAGCGGTATACTATGACTGCATAGGTTTTATTCTTGGAACAAAAGGCTTTTACAAAATTAGTTGTATTATTTTAATATATCATGTTGATATGTTAGAGAAGGAATATTTTCATCGTCTGATAAAGTGCTGAGAAGTCACTTAATGAAATCCATTCCCCACCCATTCCAGATAAATGACGAAAAGAAAAAACACACCGTGATATGTAGTGAACTAGGCGTATAAAGACACTTCTTAAACCTTATAAAGACTATCTACAGTAAAGAACTAACTGAATACTAATGTTGAATCATTACAGGTGTTTCTATTAAAATTAGGAGCAAGTCAAGATTTTTAAAAAGCCCATTATTACACCCTTTCAAGACACTTTAGATAATTCAGTGATATATGCAACAGATAGAAAAGTTTTAGTGATTAAAAAGAAGTAAAATTATCACTGGTAGAAGATGATATGATGATTTATATAGTAAATCCAAGATAATTAAGTATCTGGAATATTCAAGAGAATCAGCAACCTGTTCAAATGAACACATGAATTGAGTAACTTAGCTGCGCAGGGGTGGGGTGGGAAGGAATAAAATTACAAAAGAAAAAAAAATGGTTGAATCGCTACCATACCCAGGAATAGCAAGAAGACGCAAGTCTACATGAGGAAACTGAAAGTATTCACAGCAAGACACGGAGATATGAATAAATGGGAAGATACGTCATGCCTTCAACTGGGAAGAAAAACATGTCAATTATCTTTGCATTTCATTATAGTCCAATTTTTATTCAGTGGATCATTTTTAGAATTCAAAGTGGTTCTAATCCAGAGAAATAAGTAAATAGCAGAGGAAATTTTGAGGTTGATGGAAATCTTGAATATTTTTCCCACCAGATGTTGGAAAATGTTTTAAAATGATAATAATTAAAACAGCATGCAGCTATTGCTGTGCACAAACTGGGTAATTGGAGGAGAGTTTAACAAAGGGGCTACTGACAAAAATGTGAGCAGATTTTGGGGAAACTAAAAAGGGATTGTGTAATATCCAGGCCAGCAATAGGCAAGAATCCTTAGGTGGGAAGGGGTGGGGGAAGGGCAGTTATGAAACCAATGAAAGGACCATTGACAGGACGAGTTCTTCAGCTGAGGGACAGGCTAACCCAAGGCCACGTCACCGGGGAGAATACTCCAACATCACTCCTCTTTCCTCTGCATCCTAGGATATCTCCCAACCAGAAGCCAGGGTGCTGTTGAGGTCAGCAGATGGGGGGCAGTCAGAGTGGGACATATTGGCTAGATCCAGAGAGTGCCTCTTGAATGGCAACTGAAATATCACGCTAAATGCCAGAACTGACAATGGATCAAATAGACAGTCTAAAGTAGACTCTAAAATATTTATTTATTCATTCAGAAAATATTCATTGAGTGCCTACTCAATGCATAAGAGCATTAGTGTAAGTCAATAAGAAAAACAAGATTATTCAATAAATACCACTAGAAAATTGAGTAGCCTTTGGGAAAATCAGGTCAGTGTCTGTGCAGAACTGTGCACATGGACTCATCCAGCACCCACTCCCATCTCTTTCTAGCTTGGCTTCCTGTATCGCAAACAGAGGCTGAGAAGCCTAAAATCTCAGGCTAGCTATTACAGTAATTGACTTGCTCCTAATGTTAACAGGAATGTTCCTAAGAGCACAGATTCTGGAGCCAGGCAGTGTGGGAACAAATCCCAATCTGCCGTCCATTCACTGCTTGGTATGGGGGCAGTTCCTTTCTGTGTCTCAGTTTCTTCATATGTAAAATGGGGATAAAACAATACCTACCTCGGAGGATAGTGTAAAAATTAGTTAACATCTGTGAAAGCACTGGCACTCAATAAGCATCACATAGTGTTAGCTGTTAGTCTACTGAGCAGACTCCCTTGCAGCTAGCATTCAGCATGTGGCAAAGGTGATATCCAGGAGCTGCAGCTGTGAATCTTGGGAAGGCAGAAGTGGGCACCATGAAGTGGCAAACAGTGCCCAGGAAGCTTGTTCTTGTGGTAGAAATACTTGATTATTCTGATCAGTTGTTGTGGGGTTCCTTATTCTGGTCCCCAGCATGCAGCAGTAATGCGTTTCCCCTCAGATGCTCCCACGACGTGAAAGTGAATACTTTGTCTGTGATGCTGTTTGGCATCCAGCCCTCCTGGTAATTCATTAAATTAGCTTAAACTCCTTAGTAAATCCCTCTCTGCTTAAAGCAGCGAAACTAGCTCTGTGTGACCAGCCCAGACCATTGCCTTATGTCAAAATAAAACCCAGATAATTAAGTACTTGATTATGAAAAGTAAAGCCGTTTAAGAAATGATCAGAAAATAAATATCACCTCGTAAAGGACCTTGGCTTGAAAAAAGGAAAAAACTGTAAATATAAAAACACTGGAAGAAAATCTTGAGAGATTTGACCACATAGTTTATATGTTAAAGATCATCATTAAAATTAAAATACATGTAGTAGGTTAAGATTTCAACAAATTTGACAATGGTCCTATTCTTAACATATTAGAGTTTATATAGAATATTACAAAAATATTAAAGCAGCAATAAAAATGAATCTAAAAGACATCATCAGATAATTTATATCAAAATAAATGCAGTATATATAAAACATGTATTTACTGGTAACTTAAAAATGCAAAGGAATCATTTAGAAGTGAGGAATTTGCCAAATTGGCAAAGTAAAAAGGATTTATCTTTATTCTGGCAATGAGGGAGTGAGATAATATTCTCATTCTCTGTTGGTAGGACTATAAATTGGTAAAGTCATCCTGGAGGACAATTGGGTAATATTTACCAAGATTTTATGTAGTCTCCTCCTGGCTTTAAAAGCAGGCCACTCAACCATGCTTCACGCTATGGCTGCTCATAGAAAACAACTTGAAAACAAAATCTGTTTCAGGCAATTGCCCATAGCTACTCATGAACTACTCTGAGTGTGGCCCTCTGCAGCGCCCCCTGGCTTCTGAATCCCAGCTCCAGACACCAACTCTGGATTCAAGAGCTTTTGGACCCTCAATTATGCCGAACTGTTCAGACTTCTCTAGTTTTCAGATTCATTTTGACATCTCACCAATACTCTGGTTTCCCGGTGTCTCCTTCAAACTCAGAATGAGGTCCCTTCCATTTCTCCCAACCACAGGGACAACCTCATCTCAACTCGCTGGCCCACCCTGCTGGCTGACTTCCTCTCCATCCCTCTTCATCCTTTTTCTCATGTTAGGCAAGGAATATTGGAACAGCTCTCATTCTAGATCCCAAGTTGATTCATTTTTGCCAAATGCAAAAGTTAATACTATATAACTTCCAGAATAAGCATAACTGAAAAGGCTTCTTAGTTACTAAATGGTGTTTTTTTTTAAATTCCTTTTCTATTATGGTATGTGACCAAATCTCTTATATACTGTCTCTTCCTGACCACTTTCAAAAATGCAATTTCTTCAACTGTATTTTCTGTAGCAGCTCATTAAGCTTTTAGGGTGATTTCCATTTCCCTCAAATATTTTTAGATTCCTCCTCCTCTGGGGATGTAAAATTCCCTACTTCTCATTTATGAATCAAGGATTTTGAGAATTACTGCTTTAGCAATTTAGAAACTTCCTATCTTCTTTTTCTCCAAATTTTGAACAAACTGAGTTCTCTTTAAATGGAGAAAGAACAGTAAAGGTGCTTTTTATATTTATCCTCTATTCTTCACTATAGCTCCACTTAATACAGGTCACTTTATAATGGTGAATTCTCTGTAGAAATCAAAATGAATTTTGAAGAGAGGATGAATGGGGTAGATTAAATGGCAAGTGTAGCCAGTCAGACAGCGATCTTTACTTTCTCATTTCGGCACCTTTAATAGCCTTTCTGAAGCATTGTGTTGACTGTCCTGTGGGGGAGAGGTAGCTGTGGATATTCATCTGAAGACTGCCCACTTACAGGTTAAAATAGGATAATAACCCCTTAGAGGTGACTTATCTTACTTTCTTAAATGCTAAAAAACCACCAACAGCAAAACAAAACAAAAACATATCTCTAGTCAAAATCAGCTTCTTACTTTCTCATATATATCAGCAATCAGGATGGGAAAGGGTATAGCTCAGTGGTAGAGTATGTGCTTAGCATGCACAAGGTCCTTGGTTCAATCCCCAGTACCACCAATAAAAAAAAATCTTAAAGAAAAAATCACAATGGCTACCCCATATTTGTATTTATCTAAATTTTTTACTGAGTAAACTTAAGAAGAACCTATTACACAAGAAAGAAGAAAATGAAATGATAATAATTTACAGCCAACCATACTATACAGAAAAAAAGTCTATTCATTATTGCTAGATGCATGTAAGTTCAGTCAACAGAAAATTATCAAATATCTTCTGAAAGTGTCCCTCACAACATATTAGGGGGCAAAGAACAGGTGAGGCTGGAATGCAGGAAGTGTTACAGTTGAAATGTGCATAGAGTGTTACTGGGATGGAGGAGGAAGGGTGACCAGTACTACCGAAAGTTCTGCAGAGTTTTATAGATGACAGGTGAGTTTGAATGTAGAGCAGGAGGAGTCCATCCGGAGAGGACAAAAAGTTTACTAGAGAGGACAGAAATATTGGAGAGTAAAAATGGCAAAGACCATGGCAGAGAGGCAAGGTGGAAAGGGACTCCATGGGGAGTTATGACAGTTATGAGGACAGCCTCTTGACGGCTTCTGTACAAAGTAGATCAACATCCAAAATGTGTCCAAACCCTTCTGTCCTGTGGTATTCTTCCTAGATGACTATTTCAAGGAAATAATGTAAAAGAAGAGGAAAAAGGACCCCAAGACATGCAAAGCAATTGATAGCAGGTATTTATAATAATAAAATGAGACACAATCTCAAAGTCCAGCTATTCAGAACACTTTATCTTAAAATAAATATTGTGAAATAAAGAGCTTGCAGGTTTCATTAGACCTCAGAAGAATGTCCCCGCATGGGTGAAAAATGGTGTGACTGTTATGAGTATAGTTGTATGAAACCTAGAAGCAGAAGAATTAAAAGTAGGAAAGAATTATAAACAGGGACAAACATTGTCAAAATAAGTTCCTTGGTTTTCATTTACAAGGTTTTAGGATGGTTTAATAGTCAATTTTTAAAACACTTGTTCTAGTCCACAAGCAAAGAAACTTCAGTCTAGTGAATTCTAAGCTTCTGAACTTGGACTTGGACTTGGACCTTGAATCCAAATTTCCCTTTTAGGGTAACAGTCAGCTTTCAGTCAGCTATAAACATCGTGTTGAAGTTCACAGGACACATTCACCATGATACCCTATATTGGTCATAACTTAAGTCTAACACTTTTCAGAGGGTTGAAATCATACAGAAGATATTAACTCTTTTTTTTAACTGGAATTAAAGTAGAAATAAGATATCTCAACCATATTTGAAAACCAAGGAACATACTTCTAAACTCTTGGGTCAAAGAAAAAGAATAATAAACCCAATAAACACAAATTATTAGGAGTGAAGAGGGACACACCACTACAGAGTCGACAGACTTTCAAAGAGTAAGTATACATATAAAACTGTATGCTCTTGAAATTAACAACTGACTGAAATTGACATATTCCATGAAAATCTTCATGGGTGATTGTAATACACAGCCAAGTTGATAATCTCTGATCAAAAGGATGCCATATATTCATAACTGACTGGTATCTGGCTATTTCTCCAATCCATCCCCTCATACCTCCAATTTGCTCGCATCTTTTTCTTACTTAAAATCTTCAAAGGCTCTAGTTTTCCCACAGGGTAATGTCCTGGCTTCTTAATTTGAAGGAAAAAAAAAATACACACACTTCATGATCTGTTTCTTATTTACTTACCCGGCTTCTTGTGTTGTCATTCTCTCCTTTATCTCATGTTCCAGCTATAAACCCCCCAAAAATTAAGTACCACATTTTATTGATTCTGAAGTATACATTTTTCATAGTCCCAGATCTCTGATATTGGGATGTGTTTTATAATCAGTGAAATCATAGAACAAATTTGCATGTTATTTTTCCTTAGTGGTGCCTATACTAATAATGTAATACCCATAGGTGATAGGCTTTCTTTCATGCCCTTTTTAAAAATTTTGTTGTGGTTTTTTTTTTGTATTGAAGTATAATTGATTTACAATATTGTGTTAGTTTCAGGTGTACAGCAAAGTGATTCAGTTATATATACATACACACATATGATCATTTTCCATTATAGGTTATTACAAGATACTGAATATAGTTTCCTGTGCTATAAAATAAATCTTTGTTGTTTAGCTATTTTATACATATTATTTGTATCTATTAATCCCATACTTCTAATCTGTCATCGCCCTTTTCTCTTTGGTAACTGTAAGTTTGTTTTCTATGCCTATGAGTCTGTTTCTGTTTTGTAAATAAGTTCATTTGTATTATTTTTAGATTCCACATATAAGTGATATTATATAATATTTGTCTTCCTCTGTCTGACTGACTTCCCTTAGTATGATCATCTCTAGGTCCATCCATATTGCTGCAAGTGGCAATATTGTGTTCTTTTTTATGACTGTGTAATGTTCCACTGTGTGTATATAGCTCACATCTTCTTTATCCAGTCATCTGTTGATGGGCATTTATGTTGCTTCCATGTCTTGGCTATTGTAAATAGTGCTGCTGTGAACACTGAAGTGCATGTATCTTTCTGAATTAGAGTTTTCATCTTTTTTGGTTATATGCTTAGGCGTGGGATTGCAGGATCATACAGTAGCTCCATTTTTAGTTTTCTAAGGAATCTCTATACTGTTCTCCATAGTGGTTGCACCAAATTACATTTTTTCATGCCATTTTGATTAAAGACATAGAACTCTGTCTTGCTTCTTTTTCCATCTTTAATCTACTGGTGATCTGAACTTTCCTCCATTATCACAAATGTCATCTCCCATTTCAAATTTTCCTTAACACAAAAACTTCTATTTACTGAGTGTCTATTATGTGCTAGGCTCTATGCCACATACTTTACTTATGATGTCTCTTTTATATTTTATGACCAATTGATGAACAAGAGGTATTATTCAAGGTTCATGGAGGTTAACTAAATTCCCCAAAGGTCACACAACTCTCTAGAAAAACCAAAACAGCAACAAAGCACCCCTAGCACACCTGGAATAGTACACAAGTCTCTTTGCTCCTAAAGCCTTTGTCCTTTCTGTGACACCGTAATTCCTTTCCGAGCCAGGCCCCATTACTTGTCAAATTAGGCATACTTTTCTCAGAGCTCCTACAGTATTTATTTCACTGTACTGTAATGATTTTTTCCACATCTTTCTGATTTATGAGGTAATAAAAATACTTTATTACTAGATCCTGAAGACTTCGTAGAGCGCCTGATATATATAGCAGTACCAAGTAGTAACTATTTTAATCCGTGAATAAATGAGGAACCTTGGCAATGAGATTTTCCTGGTCCCTATGCTTCTCCCAACCACACACACACTAGAGGTAGTATCAACGACACTGGAAAATTAATCTGAAAACAGGGTTATGAGCTAGAATTTAGAAGTGTGAACTCGGAGGCAGTGATAACCAATGGCTTTCATCCCCCTGCTTCCTCTTACCTATTGCTAGTTTATCAAGGTGCTGGGTTCAGAAGGATCTGAGGCTGTGTCAGCTCAGTGAGAAGTACAGGGACTGATGTCTTCGCTGTCTCTCCTCCCAGGGCAGGGGAGGAGAGGGTGGCAGCATTCCTGTGGTGTATTCGCCATCGGCACTTGACTCTCGTTCTCTCCATCTTCCTTTACAGTTGCTGTTCCCTCTGTTTGGAAAAGTCTTCCTCTAGATAAGGCTCCATGTCACTCCCTTATTTTCTCAGAAATTCGGTTTAAATATCAGTTTGTCAGTGAGTGAGAGTCCACCATTCATTCTAAAATAGCACATTTCCCATCCCATCACTCACTATACCTTTTGAGTACTTTACTATTATTTCTTGCACTGACGGACATTTTGCATTATATTATATAGGTCTGTTTATTCACTTACTGTTTGTCTTGCTCATGTGAGCTCTGTGAGGGCAGAGATTTTATTCTGCTCACCCAGGCACCCAAGGCATACCCAGCACACAGTCCATGTTGAGTCAATAACAAAATCACAAGTGCAGTATCCTTTTCCTCTTCTCTCATGGCAATGACAGCAGACAATAAGCATGATAAAAGCCATCTATGTCATTAAAGAATTTCTTTTTAAAAAAAATTTTAGTACCTTTATTGTGGCGTAATTCCTGTACAGTCAACTACACATATTTCAGACGTACAATTTGATGAATTTTGATAGCTGTCGACATCTGTGAAACCACCACCACATCAAATTAGCTAACGTTTCCATCACTCCCAAAGAAGGTGCAGATTTTGAACTCACTGTTTATCACTTCTTATGTTTAAAGTAGATCAGTTCTGTAAATTCCTTCTCCTTGATGTCTAATATATTCTGTATCTCTGACCCTTTGTAATTCTTATATTCTTTTCTAACTCTTACACTTCCACCTCTCTCTTTACTGGTCTTTACCATTAGAGACATTTTCTGCTTCTCCAACGAGAGAGAATTTCGAGGCACGTTCACTATCTAGTCCAAAGAACTGCGCTCTTTATTTCCTTAAGGGATGATTTCAGTGATTTCAGGTGATTAACCCCTACATGTTTCATCACTTTCTTTCCCAAGTATTTCCTAGGGGCATAGTCTACCAACTAGCCCAGACTATGATAAATTAGTCTGATTTGCCAGTATCTCCAGGTTAGTGTGGGTAACAGCTCTGATGTTGAATGTTCTTTCTTTCAGTGTATATATATACGTCTTCTTTATCCAGTTGTGTATAGCACAGGGAACTATATTAAATACCTTGTAATAGCCTGTAATGAAGACTAATATGAAAAGGAATATATATATATGTAAAACTGAATCACTATGCTGTACACTAGAAATGTAACATTACAAATCGACTATACTTCAATTTAAAAAAGAAGTTAACTGCAAGCATAGTGCCCATTAACCACAGGGAACACAGATAAGAGTGAACTGTTCCTGTGAAGGATGGATGATTCCTTGAGAATTCTCTGACCACTGAAACACACCCACAGGTGCTTCTTGTATGGTTTCAATGCAGCTCAGACGTCATCATTGAATAAAAAATTGGGAGTAGGTATTCGTCTTCCCTTTAGTAGAATAGTTCCTGTTTTCCTTTAAAACCCACCCACAGTCATCTTCCTCATTATTTCTATTTGGGTGACATTCAGTAGCCCTCTGATTTTTATCAGAAAGTTTTTGAACAATTACTATATACTTGAAATTCTGCTAAGAGGGCTAAAAAAATAAGTAAGACAAAATCCATTCTCTCCAAAGTTTTCCTGTCTAAGTGGAGACAAAGCAAACCCATTCAGGACTTAGAAAACCTGTAACCTCAATGGTTAAAAAATATCGCTTAATATTTTAACTTAGGTTCATTTGATACAACTGATTGCCTTTTATGTACAAAACACTATGGGTGGACAATTTTATAGCCATTTCAAAATTTAACTTCATCCTAATCCTACAAGTTAGAGTTCGTGATCTTTTTCGAAGGGGAAGCGACCAAAGCCCCGGGTGGTGATCTTTCCAAGATCATTCAGCCAGAAAGCAAGGAGTCAGACTTACAGCCACGCAGTTTTTAAAATCCAGTGTCCTTTTCATTATGCTACCCTTCTGCTAGATGATTTACGTACTGAATTCTATCTGCTGTGGTCTGTTTTGATCTCTGGTGAGTTCATGGTTCATGAGGAATAACTAATGTCATTTAGAAACGGAAATTCCAAGGGTTGAGTCATAAGATTCTTTCATGGGACTGGCCATGGGTAAACATCGATTCACTGCCGTATCTCATGGTACTGCTCGCCTAGCGAAGTTAAACAGGCCTCTTTACGTGTATAAATATGTCCTTCAGCCAGCTCTCTGCAGGGCCTGACTCATGCCATTACCCTGCTGTTAGGGCTGGCCAGCCACTAAACAGGCAGTCACTTGTACAACTATTACAGGCTGTTGCCAGAAAAATGTAATCGCAATTATGGCCACGTTTTTCTTTTTTTCTTTCCAGGGATGACCTTTTTTTTTAATATATATAAACATTTTTATTGAGTTATAGTCACTTTACAATGTTGTGTCAAATTCCAGTGTAGAGCACAATTTTTCACTTACACATGAACATATATATTCATTGTCACATTCTCTTTCACTGTGAGCCACCGTAAGATCCTGTATATATTTCCCTGTGCTACACAGTACATGGCCACATTGTTAAAATCCAGAATATTAGACTTCTTACAAGGAATTAGAAACATAGTATATATTGATTTGTGGTTATTGTTCTGGCTGTTTTTGAGAGACATTTTCCCAAACACTATATGCAGCATAACAATTATTTTTTTATTCCTATAGTTTTTATTGAGATATAATTAACATGTAACATTCTATTAGTTTCAGGTGTACAACACAATAATTCACTATTCATATATATTGTGAAATGATCACCACAATAAGTCCAGTTAACATCCATCACTGGACACGGTTACGTTTCATTCTTGTGCTGAGAACTTTTAAGATCTACTCTTTTCACAAATTCCAAGTATACGATACAGCATTATTAACTATAGTCACCAAGCAGCATAAGAATTATTATTAATAAATGCACAGTCCTCTGGTTCCTGTGACAGATACAGGCTCCTTGAATATCACCCAATGAATATATCCTTGGTTCTGAAGCTCAGGATGAAAAACTAGAGAATCACAGCCTTGAGGCTGGATTCCATTCTGGCTTTCAGACATGCACTTGAGACTTCATTCCAGGAGACAGGACCTCAAGTCTAGGTGATTAGTGTAAGTGTTGTAGAGCTGATCCAGGGTTGGGATAGACTTTCCTAATGCCTACCTCTCTTATGTATATATATATGTTATTTTGGAAAATGAAGAGTTTATCTTGCTCACCAACCGCTACCAGAGGTTTGGTATAAATACTCCCACGTGTTAGCTGGAAGCATGAAGTGGGTTTTCCCTATGAGAAAATAGTGGAAGGAGACCTTTGATTATTCCGGGAAAATCTTGTGAGAGACAAAAAAACGTAATGGCTTCAGGTCAGGACACCTAAATTAAAGTGCTGGTTCTACTAAATACAGGATGTTTTAATACTGAGCTAGGTGTTCGCCCCTGCCAGGCCTCAGTGCCCCCATTTGTGCACAGGGGACAGTGAAACGAGACTGATGCAGGTTGGTGGTGAGGATGACAATGGAGCTACATTGAGCAAAAGTCAACAGTTACTCCTCTGATGACGTCAACTTATTTGCCTCCTTAGATGATTTCACCATTACAGACACATCTAATATTTAGGACATTATTGTAGGCAATGAAAGAGTTTGCAAAAGAAAAAAGTCATCCTAGCTTTATAAGATTGGAGACTTAGGATACTATGTTAGTGTTTGTTACTTAAAGTTATTCTGATGGATGGACTCTTGCTCTAAGCAGCCCATGTGAAATTCCAAATGTCAGCCTATTGGAGGAACAGAACGGCAGCATCAGCAGTCCTCCTTGAGGGTTCTTGTCAATTTGACAGATTTGACAGGCAGACAAATTTAATTTATTAAAATATTCTGCATAGCATTTTTAACACAAGGGGTTTTTATACTGTAAATGGACTGTTTTCACAGCCTTATTAAAATAAATGCATAAAGTCAGCTATTTTTCTTTGGAATTCATTAGCATGAGATTCAACACTTAAAGGACCTGCAAGACTGTTACTGATACTTGTATACCTGGACCTTTTGGCTATTTTGCAATCTTTGTATATAATCTAGGATGTCTCCTTTTTAAAGCAAATAGGAATTGTACTTCAGGAGGAAAAGTTTGTCTATGTATTCCATTTCATGGAGATATTTACTGACATTATTAGAAGCCATTAGAAAGCCAGTGCTTCTCCCCGAGGACCGTTGGAAACACCTGAGCAAATTTTGGGTTTCCTTAGACAAGAAGTTGAGATTTGCTTTTCTTCAAAGAAATTCTATTATTTGTACTGAAGGAACATTGTCAAAGTTAATAGATTTCCTTTTTTTTCCCCAAAGGCTATTTTAAAATTAAACACAATATGCTATAAAATTGAAATATTTATATTGATGGTGAGCCAGCACCATTTCGCAGAGTTGTCAGTTTCCTCTTAGCAATGGCTTCACCTCAACTATTCATTCTGTCTTGGCAAAATGGCCTTACTCTTGACACGCTTTGCACACTGCCTCTGACTAGTGTCCTCATGGCTTCTACCATCTTGGCTGTATTTTTTTTTTCCTGTAGCTCACTTTGCCACTCAGAACCGACCTGTCCTCCTGGCTGTGGCCTCGGCCCCTCTCCTTGAGCAAGAGCATCTTCCTCAGGTGGCCTAAGATCACCACTGCTTTGGGTCCAGCCCCACTCCGGAAGCCCCTCATTCGCACAGTTTCTCACTAGGGAATTTCTCTTAACCCCCTGAACTAAATTTTAGGCAACCAGTTCATCTATCACTCAAAGATCTTGCCTACAGAGATATGCTGGGAGGTGAATTAATTGGTAAATTAAATGCTAATAACCTGCCAATCACAGTAGTTCCACCGCAAAAGGGCTTTGCTTCAATATATTCAAATCTCACTTCTACAGAATTTGAAGGACCAAACTCACTCTAAAAATAGCATTTTACACAGAAATGACGGAAGATAGTCTATTACACTTAAATAACATAAAAAACATGTCTGTGTTTCCCAACTATTAGTAAAGATTCAACAAAAATGTGTAATTATCTTAAAAACATCATTCAGATCTACTATGCCAGCCAATGACTTTTCATTTCCTGAAGTCGATATCTACTTCCAAATGCTTCTTCCTTTAGCTTTCTAAGGCATTGTTTTTAAAATGATACCCTGGTAATGACCTGTATTGCGGGCTGTAGTGGACTATGGCTATTAGTGCACCTGTCTTCTTACCAGATGGAGTTCTTCAGTCTAGACCATGCTTTGTATCCACATAAGCAAAAACAAGGCGTGCCTTTAATAGAGACTCAATGAATGTATAGGGAGTTGATTAATGTTCCCATTAGAACATTAACTTAAAAATAGCACCTACTGTTCTTGTAGAAGTATAGTTGCTTTTGAATGAAGTTAACTGAAGTGGATTAAGTCAGCATTGGTTGAGCATCTATTATGGCAAAATGTTAGCTCCTAAGGAATCAAAGATCAAAATGCCAAGATCTCTGCCTCAAGATTAAAACCTATTTCAGAAGGTAATCTGGTTCCCATTAATTTAAATAAATTGTGTTTGACGTGGTTTAGGGGCTGAAAATCGGACTATTAAATGGGTGGAGTGAATATCAAGCATTTGGGTAG